CTAAACCAGATTGCATCACATCGTCTCGAGAAGACCTGGGTAATTTAACTTCGTCGTCTTCACGTGGTACGCTTTAGCTCTAGCTCCCATCCCTGGGCTAGGATGATAGAATCTGCTACTTGTGATCTATGATTATCGCCGAATGACGCTAGGAGCGGGCTGTGTGCTAGTTTGATTATTTACTTGATAAGAACCTAAAATGGCTTGTGATCGTGTATTGGATTTTTGCCTAGTATGGCATTTCGCAGGTAGATGCTTCGTAGTAAAATCAGAAAAGACTTCTATCCGGTCATGTGCTGTATTATGTGTAGTCAAGAAATCTACAGTATTTTATTCTTCTTTCCTCACCACCAAGTTTATGAACAACGCGCGAAGAGTCAGCAGGAACACAAACGATGCATTGTTCAAACCCTTGGACAGCCTGCATTGTTTTATTTTTAGATATTCTGGTGAATCAACCTTGGAAGTAGGCGACAGCTTTTGCAGGGGTCTTAAGCAGTATGAGTGGTCTCTCGACAAGGATAATCCATAGTCCGAGCCAAGGAAATATGCCTTATGGGGCTGGGCTTTAACCCGTTCCCCGCTCATTGTCGAGTGCGTGGAATTTCTTTTCCCTTCCCGATTAATCGACCATCGCCAATCTACCATCGACAGGCGATATCGCAGAGGTTCATTTAATTCTCAATTTCGATTTCTTATTATTGTGTCTTATTTTCTTAGTTACATATTTCTATTCTGGATGGCACATACCTCTACCGTTTTTGTGCTTGTTCTGACATACCATATTCTCAGATGACTGTTGCAGGTAGTCACTCTCTAGACAATGGTATTGCGATTTGTCTGGTTTCATCGGGTGAATGAGCCGCACTCTTGTCATGTCAACCCACTCGCCCCAACCATCTCGCCCGGAGGGCCGTTATGGCTTCGAGATAGCTGTTTTCTGCGCGCTACCTCTCGAGGCTGATGCTATCGAGGCCTTGTTTGACTATTATTGGGATAGTAATGGTCTATCTTTCAGGAAGGCAGCACACGATCCCAATTCCTACTTAACAGGTGTGATTGGGTGTCACAATGTCGTGCTTATACGTATGCCGGGGACAGGTAAAGTGCATGCGGCGGCGGCAGCTTCTAACTGCAGAGCTAGTTTTCCGAATATCAAGATTGCCCTTATTGTTGGTGTCTGTGGCGTTGTCCCCTTCAAGCGCAACGGTGAGGAGATCGTACTTGGAGATGTCGTCATCAGTGAGGGCATTATCCAATATGATTTCGGACGGCGCCTACCAGGCCAGTTTATCCCTAAAGAAGGGCCGCTGGACTCTCTGGGAAGACCAAACCAGGAGATACGCGGGGTTTTGGCACAAGCCAAAGGGATCAAAGGCCGTGAACTACTGATAAGCGAGATGACAAGATACCTCAGTATCCTTTGCCAAAAACCAGAGCTACGTGCCGAATATCCTGGCGTTGCGTATGATAGACTATTTGAAGCATCCTATTGCCACAGCGAGGACCAGAAGCCATGCGAACAAGTCGGGTGCGACGGCAAGCTCGTGCCACGACGCCGTCTTCAAGCCACAAAGCCTAGTCCTGCACCTGCTATCCATTTCGGGCTGATGGCATCCGGCGATTCAGTGATGAAGTCCGGTGACGACCGAGACCGCGAAGTAGAGGCGAGAGATATAGTTGCCTTCGAGATGGAAGGTGCGGGTGTTTGGGATATTCTTCCCTGCATTGTGATCAAAGGGGCATGTGACTATGCCGATAGCCATAAAAGCAAGGTCTGGCAGCGACATGCAGCGGCCACTGGGGCAGCTTGTGCGAAGGCCTTTCTTGGCTTTTGGATCCCTCCACTCACTCAAGGTTCGTCGCGGCAAGCCTCTCTGACGGTCGTAATTAATCGTGATTGAAGATATTTCATGCCTAGCTGCAAACTCAGAGAGTAGCTGGTCTTTAGAGAATCGAGAGTCTTTTGGTCAGAGCAGAACTGCGCGGGCTGTTCAAGAGCGTCAAATGCAACCTGTATTTCTCGTTCCGTTTTCGAAAAATGACCTCTTCGTGGGCCGAAAGGATGTTCTCGCGAAGTTACAAGATCAACTGTTCGAACAAGGGCGGCAAAAAGTCGCCCTGGTTGGACTTGGAGGCCTAGGTAAAACCCAGATCGCTCTACAGCTCGCTTTCTGGGTTAAGGAGAACAAGCCAGACCACTCAGTGTTTTGGATGCCTGCCCTCAGCATGGCTGGCTTCGAGCAGGAGTGCGTGAAGATCGTCAGGGCGCTTGGTATCCGATGCTCTGAAGGTGAAGATGCGAAAGATGCAGTGCGACAGCATCTCAGCTCCAAAGATGCAGGAAGTTGGTTTCTTATCGTTGATAATGCTGATGATGTAGAGATTTTTTACAAGTCGACGTACCCGGGTGGGTGGATCCTCGACTTTCTTCCGTCCAGTGACAACGGGCGGACCCTTTTCACAACACGATCCAGGAAAGTTGCCTCTGTTGCAGCGAAGACTATGGTAGAAACGTTACTACCGATGCATCCAGAGGAGGCAACAGATCTTCTCGAGAAGTCCTTGATCGACAAGGAGGAACTAAAAGATATTGAGAATGTATCTCAGCTCCTTGATGCTCTTACCTACCTTCCTCTAGCGATTGTACAGGCAGCAGCGTATATAAACATCTACGAGACTCCTATTGTGGAATACATTCAAGTACTTAAAGACGCTGACGCAGATAATATTATTGAGCTTCTTGAGGAAGGATATGATGACGAGGTTCATTACGATAGTTCGCAAGGCGCTGTCGCTACTACGTGGATTGTGTCGTTCGACCGGATACGCCGAACTGCTCCGGCAGCGGCAGACCTTCTTTCATTCATGGCTTGCGTTGAACCGAGAGGGATCCCTCGATCCATTCTTCCGCAGTTGAAGACCGAACAGCAAATGACACAAGCTATTGGTACACTCACAGGACACGGTTTCCTTGGTCGACGAGAAGGCGAGGCGACGTTCGACATGCATAGTTTAGTGCACTTGGCAACGCGAATATGGAATAAAAACGAGGGCCGTGAGGGAGAAGTGCGGCAAGCGACATTGACACGTATTACTGAGGTATTTCCAACTGATGACTGGAGAAACCGTGATCTGTGGCGGCAATATTTACCACATGCGCTGAGGCTGTTGGGAACTGCGGGGTGCATGGAGAATGAAGGGGGACGCGAACTGGGATTATTGGTGGGCCAATGCTTGCTGGTAGACGGGCGGACGACAGAGGCAGTATCTACACTACAGCATGTGGTTGAGATCCGAGAGAGGATACAGGCAGAAGATTATCCAAATCGACTGATATCAGAGCACGAGCTTGCACGAGCATACCTTACAGATGGTCAGATAGAGAAGGCCGTCGAGATGCTAGAGTATATAGTTCAGATCCGAGAGAGGATATCGGCAGAAGATCACCCACATCGACTAGCATCAGAGCACGAGCTTGCACGAGCATACCTTACAGATGGTCAGATAAAGAAGGCCATCGAGATACTAGAGCATGTGGTTGCAGTTGAGGTAGGGATACTGGCAGAAAATCACCCAGATCGACTGGCATCAGAGCACGAGCTTGCACGAGCATACCTCACAGATGGTCAGACGAGGAAGGCCATCGAGATGCTAGAGCACATAGCTCAGATCCGAGAGAGGATATCGGCAGAAGATCACCCACATCGACTAACATCAGAGCATGTGCTTGCACGAGCATACCTCACAGATGGCCAGATAGAGAAGGCTGTTAAGATGCTAGAGCATGTGGTTGAGATCCAAAAGAGGATACAGGCAGAAGATTATCCAAATCGACTGACATCAGAGCACGAGCTTGCACGAGCATACCTTGCAGATGGTCAGACGAGGAAGGCCATTGAGATACTAGAGCACGTAGTTCAGATCCGAGAGAGGATATCGGCAGAAGATCACCCACATCGACTAACATCAGAGCATGTGCTTGCACGAGCATACCTCACAGATGGTCAAATAGAGAAGGCCATTAAGATGCTGGAGCATGTGGTTATGGTTAAGGTAGGGATATTAGCAGAGTATGATCCCAGTCGGCACTTGTCACAAGACCTGCTGCAGTACTGCTATGAGAAGTTAGAAGGGTCGGTATAGTAATGAAGTCTAAGGCATCAGTGTTTGGTGAGGAGATGTAATTAATCTATCCATATGTTGGGTTCCAACCATGTAGTGCGAATAAAAAAGGTGGGAAGCGCAGGAGTACATTGTCTACTAGGGGTGAAATAAAGCAGCTTTCAGCCTGTGGAGTAATACTGCTGCGGGTCGCCCGATTATGGCTTGACCGCCAGGATACTACACCGAGCACAGTAAAATCAGTCATTACTATATACACCCCGTAAGCATGATCCGTGCACTAGAAGTTGAAGAGAGTGTGCAGATGGACAACCGATTTCGTTCTTTACTGTAACTGATACGAAACTCTTGAAATTTGGAAGACATTATCTCGAAAACCGGTTAAGCTTGGCAGGTCTCGCTACTAAGCCATTTTTGCAGGGGACAAAAGGCTTCCGAATGAGTGTCTTTTCGGCTGGATTGGAGGTGAGTTCGCGGTCCAATTGCTGTAAAAGGTGTTTGGTGGTGGCAGGTTTGATGGAGTGTGGACGGGTTGTAGTTGAGATCCACTGAAGTCGCCCACTAACAACGGTTCAAGATTGTGGTATATGCATTTATCCAAAGCCAAGGGCCGGAGAGTAAGGCTCTGCTACGTTGTGAGGCCTGAATCCCTTGAGTTCTACGCACATACCTACCGACTCAAGTAAATTCCCGTGCAGCATCGTAGTCAATCATCTTCGTGGCCACAAACGACAATCCAGCTTAACGCAGTACAACTTGAGTGTCCACAGGCAGTAAAAAGAAATATCTTATTGGTCAGCCGTAAGTTGTGGTAATGCAGTACCATCCTCTTGCAAAATAAAAGTCTCGATAGAAGACGAGCAAAAAGTAAGCCTAGCCACGCCCCGGACTCGAACCGAGAGCCTTTGCTACCGGAAAACAACGCGCTACCATTGCGCCAACGCGGCGAGTGCATTGTTATTTCATTTTTGAGTGCTATATCAAGTTGAGCAGTACTGTTGGTGGCTTGAAGCACTACCAAGAGCCACATTCCACGCGGATACCTTCTACTGGTTCAAACCAAAGTTGGGCTAGTTACTTGGTCTATATTCCATCTAATAGAGATGTCAGGTATGGGTGCTGAAACTCGGCCGACTGGTTCCCTGCCAGGGCCTACAGATTGAGATTGTAGTAACGATCGAGGCTGTAAGACTTATGGTATGTGAGCGGGAATGTGAACTGGGTTTGTGTTTGAGTCTTCCTGATGAAGAAAGCCGGCCCCAGGAATAAAAACCAATATTGCACAAATTAAACTATCACAGCGTTTCATTGGTCAGAATGTAGCAACAACCAGTTCCACCAAAAATATTCGAATAAAGTAATTATACTGGCAGGTTGCTTGGTACTCTTTTTAAATGTTGTGGATTCATTGGCTGTGTCTTCCGATCGATCTGGATGGTGGTTGATGGTATCGGTATCAATCTTATTTGTTTTGTTAACGGGCTTTGCTCTGGGTTTGTCTAAATAATGTGTGTCTGACCCGGGCCATTCTTGATCTGACTGCAACTTTTGCGAATCAGTCAGTGATGAAAGAGAATGTGTGTATTGTCGTGCTGTTTGTTACGAAATTGTGGGATCCAACGGTTGTTGCAGGGTATGCAGACATGAGTATGGGGAAAGCTAACGTCGGCTCACTTGCAGATTACAGATCTCTCAGCTTCGGCACTGTTTGACAGGTATCTCAGAGAGGTACCCCGACAGCTTCGCATATAATAAGTGGTACTTGGTTCAATTTGTCGCTGTCATTGGTACTTCGTCTTCGTATGGTGCACGTGACCGGTGGCTGAAACAGGTTGAAGACAGGGGTGATCACGTCAGGCAAAACACTCATGGTTAGATACGGGAGAAGAGAAGACAACCGCATGTGGCTTTTGGTCGAGGCCAATAGAAAGCGATGCGCTCTTGTGATTGCCTTTTGTACTTGTGGCTACGGTGGAGGTGATAGAAACATGGACTGATCCTTACGGGCTTTTTACTTTTTTCTTTCTTGGCTGGATGGTGGACCTGACCAGTACCGTCATGTATGGACAGATCCAAAGCGAAGTTCGACATGCATGGGGCCTAAAAGGCCCTTGAACATATGAGTCTCAGGAGGATTGAAGTAGATGATAATGTCTGCATTAAAGAAATGCGAAGAGAAGAGTCGATTTCTATCAGACTCATAGATCAACACGCAGTGTTGGCACTGAAGTCGCATTGGTTGGAGGGAAGCATGCATGTCTTGAGAATGAGGCCACCCACGGGCTACAAGTACCCTATCATGGCAACCAGTTTGCTAGCAGAGTGATCTCAGATCTCAAGTCTGATACGCGCAAAGGTCTGTAGTTTCATCAATCGTGGAATCTTGCATTGTGTATGATGGCTGATGTGATCTCAGACTCAATTTTGACCCTGAGATCCTCTTAAGTATTTCTCACGATGGGATGGACCGCGTGTGCTGGCTATGCTTCGAGAACAACGTTAACCAGACACAATGCACAGCAGATAGCGGTGAGGTTTTGGCTTGACCAGGGACACCAATTTGTCTCAGCCACAGGAAACAGGGCTCAGATGACTGGTACGGTATGGTAAATGCCCATATGTCTGCAATACCAGCCTCCGCTACAGCCAGGTTGCTATCGGCAAAATTCCGGTATTGCAGTTATTGACCGTGTAAGGAGCTTGACTGTAAGGCGCCGTCCATTCTTCCAAAGTTTCACATAGCAAAAAGTGTATCACATCAAACCTTACCTTCTTGTGTATGAGTATGCATAACTTGAGCGGACTTTGGAGATGAGTGAATGGCTGTCATGGATTGTGGTTCGAATCTGACACTGCCAAAGATGCCGTACGTAAGCGTCTTGGCCGAAGTTTCATATCCTAAGATCCGGGGAAACCCATTCTTGATCATTTATTGTTCCTTCTCTGATGGTGCCGAGACGCAATTCACCCCAAGCCCAGGTAGACAAAGTGTTACACGGTAGACTGGAAGTTCATTTCTGGATGATCTTCATAGTGAAACTGGTTGTCAATTATCCACCACTAAGCAATTGAGCTCTGTCGCTCAGACCGGGACAGTCCACGGTGTCAAAAGCAGAGGGCCCATTGTCTCGAGTCGAGGGTATACAAGCGCGTAACGAGACGGCTGTTGGATATTGCCCCTCGGCGCTTGGCCCTTTAAAGTCTTTCAATGAAGTGTTACACTCGAGGAATCCCAATGTGCGGTAAACGGCTCTTGCATAGCGCCCCTCAAGAAGTTTCGCAAATTGCAGATCCAGTAACCATATAACGGCAGGCGACGCCAGAATAACGTAACAATACCCAGATGGGGAAGTTCAATGTGAATGACGATTCACTTTGCTTTGCGGAGGGTGGTGTGAGCGAGAGTTCTTGTCAAACAAGAGATGCTGTGCCACGACCAACAGTAGACAACGAGAGAATACAAGAAGTACAAATGCAATGATAACCCTTTCAATACTGTTCTTAACCAACTGTGGAGTATCCCAATAAGCCATTCTAGGAGTCATGATATCACTTGGGAAACGAACGTCAGATTTATTCGATGCAGAGCCAGGTCCATGGCTACTGAACAAACGGAACAAGGCTAAGATCTCGGTATGTGGCAGGAGTTTATAAGGGACTCGGTAGGTCACTAAGACGCTGTCAAGCAATTGAACTTCTATTCTTGTGACCAGAACACAACTGGCCCATCATTCGACTTCAAGATGGACAACACAGGCTCGACTGCCCCTGCAGTAGCCCCAACTCTTACCCAGAATCGGTCTCCAAAGTCTTCACAGGAAGTTCGTCGTTCGGACTTAGCCTTTCTCAATCAAGTCTCCAACCAGATTGTCAACGATATCATCCCACCTTTTGTCTGGAGAGCCGCGGCTAGGGCCAATAAAGAGACCTTAAAAAGCAACCGACACCGCGTTGCAAGCCAACTTTCACAAGCTAGCCTCGCTCAAATCGTCTATCATCTCCCAGAAGAGAAAGCTTAAAGATTGTGAACTAGGCCTAAAAGCATTCGGCCATTTAGCCAAGCGGTTCCACGATGCTGTCTCAGAGGTTCAAAACGCACATGTAGTCGTCAAAGAAACAGAAGCGCTTCTGAAGTCTCCCTGCGAAGCTGCAAGTAACGATGAGAGCTCTCAACAGAGTTTAATCAACACTCTCGCGCAGGCCAGTGATGTTCGACGCAAGAGAGTCTCCGTCGAGAAAGAGGTTACCGCGCAGTCGAGGTATCACCGTGGGCCAGAGGTTGAAGCCGAGGTGGAAATTTGCAGAGCAGAGCTAGAAGCACTTCGGAAACTCGAGATTGAAGAGAACGGCAATCTCCCAGAAGCAAACATCCCGGCGGTTTGGAGTGGCAGTATGGATGGAATGAAGGAGACACAGGCTTGAGATGAAATTATTCTTACTGTGAGCTGATAGATATGACAGAAAGCACAAGTCCACATCAAGAATTCAGTTCTAAGGATGAATAAAAGAACGGTGGATACATTTCTTATCACATGTCAAATTCTAAACGTTTATGCGGACAATATGTTTGAGTTGAAGCCTGGTCCTGATCCATCAAAGTATTATTTCTATTTCGCCCATTGGGCATAGTCCGACTAAGCAAGTGCAACAGCACAACGTAATCGGTCAGATCGACTTGTTTCTCAAAGAAACCGCAGAGTAAAGGTACTAATGAGACAAATTCCACTCCCTGATGATCAAGCTGTAGTATCTACGATTACTCCTGCCTGTATGCCTTTTAAAAGAGTAAGGGATGCGACATACCCCTGCTTAACCCGAGAGAATGAGACGAATTGAAGACATTGCCTCCAGGTGCGAACCGTCCTATCCGTAAGTCATGCTCAAACTGAAATTGAAGAACCACGTCGACTTGAGTATCCTGGGACTCTTCATTGCTCACAATGTACAGCAGTATCCACTCATGATGTGGTGAAAAGACATGGGATGTTGAATGTGGCGCAATCTGAGATCAGTTAGGGTGCCAAGATGAGGTCACTCATGAAAGACTTTAATCTTAGCCATGGGCAACTGAGCTTTGCACCATCAGGCCTGAGTCCAGCAACCTATTGGTGGCGGTGTAGTATGGCGTGAACACGACTCAAACTCTGCCGCACACGTACATGCATGTCATCCCGCCAAAACTAGCAGTTAAAAACACTACACTAGACGATTTTCAACAAAGGTCGAAAGTGTCCGCCATGAGTCGACTGGTGCTGCCATTCGCAAGACGCTAAGCAAGAAGACCTCCAAGATGAACCCCACGGAATTAGACGATTAGCCAGCAGACCACTTCTTGGTCAAGCTCAAGAGATTCTCCGTCTGGCCCGCCAGCATCGTACCCAAATATAATCCTTACTAAATGTAGCTCAGATGAATGCTTTGCCATAATACAACTAACAGTAAGACATATAGTATGCAGAGTAATAATATGCTAACAAGAAGCTCTGAATATGAAGGTAGAGTTGGTATATATATATTTATTTGTGAAGTGGGAAACTATGCTAGAGAGATCTAAGCCCGGATGAAAACCCATTATTCATTTTCCTGCTGATAGCTTTCTAGCTTCCATAAAGGCTACCTGATGGGCGTTACTATAAGTATCCAATCTAATAACTCAATACCTCTGTATGGACTTTAAAGACCTAGAATTTGTCCAGCCGTGAAGCTGCTTTTGCAGTGGAATTTGCGATACCCATGCATTACTCGATTTGCCGATTCCCCTGGGTAGAGACGCTCGCAATGGTAGTCATTACCCGTGGTAACAGAACAATCTCCATATTTTCGTCCGTCAACTGTGCAGCCCAATTAACACTGACTTCTTTCATGAAGTAGATATTATGAAGGAAAGGAAAAGTACTTACGTCCATACATCCCAAAGTTTCGGTCTTTGTAAATAGCTATTTTGGCG